TATATATATATATATATATATATATATATAAAGAATTTTTATTATATGTATAATAATATTTTAATTTTTTATGTATAATAGAAAATAATTTATATATATATATATATATAACAAAAACTATTTTTATATGTAGCCTTAAAAGAGGGGCAAGTTGGGAGTAGGTGGTGGCGGTTGGTAGTGGTTGATGATGGATTGCCAGGATGCATCTGGCCAACACCACGTGTCAAGATCCGTAGGTTGACCAGATATCCCTACATCAATTTCTAAGCACAAAATATTGCAAGATATTATCAAATAAACTAAAAAAATACTTATTTTTGAAATTTAAAAAGAAGTTGAGAAAAACTTCAAAAATCTTGAGTTTTGGAGGCTGCTTTTGGGGCATTTTTAAAGATCTTGCAATCCAAGAATGTGTATGAATGATTTGGTGAGTTTGGGAGAGAAAGAAGGTTTTTGGAGAGAGTTAAAAGCTTTTTTTTTTCTTAAATGTTTTTAATTTATTTATTTTTCTTTTGCCTATAGGAAAGTCATATTGTATCGGTCGATACACCTCCATATGACTATGATACGATCCCAATACACCTCAATACATCCTTAATACACCCCAATATGCCCCTAATACTCCCCAATACGATCAAGATACGGGGTTGGCACGACAAAAAGATATGATAAAAATGATTTTGTAGTGTTTCCCGTGCTGACCACTTAAAGATATGATACATATCGGCTGATACATTGCAGAATTTTGAACCTTGCCAGGACCATCCAATATACCTAAGGTAACAAGACATCACCTTGCACTCCGGAAATTCTTTCAAAGCATAGGTCTTTTAAGGCCCCAAACTTTGATACCTATAATGGAACTTTCAAACCCAGTAGATTATGTAGAGAACTTCTAAGACCTTATGTTGTTGCATATGGCCTTAATGGCCAATATGTACCTCACCTTCTCGACCACTTTAAGGTAAGTAACGCAATTTTAATATTCCAAGCTTCTCTTGTTATCCATCACTTCTTGGGACTAGTTTACAAAATAGATAATTTCTCTCTACGCCACAAGCCGCATGTGACACAAGATAGCGGCCAACCTGATGCATATCCAATAGAGACCTATATGACTCCCTCTAGGAATACATATTGTGTTTTAACTTGAATGCATTGGAGGTCAGGAACTTGGACCCAACACTAGTAGTGGCAACAATAGCTCCATGGAGTACTAGACTCCCACCTTGCCTTCTCACTAGCAAAGAGACCCCATAGAAGTACATGAATGCAAAGGAGGCATTGTGGGTAAGGAGAGACCAAGGAGAGAAAAAGAATAAGAAGGGAAAAGACTAAGGTGACAAGGAGGAGGAAGGGAATTGAAAAGAGTGAAGGTAGGAGAAAGGTCATCCAGTGAGATAGGTTCCCACCTCATGAATATATCAGTTATACACCATTGAATGCTCGTTGGAGAGAGATCTTAATGCAGGTGCAAGACCAGGACATCCTCAAATGGCCACCTCAGATGAAGGACAGCTCGACAAAAAGAAATTAGAATAAGTAGTGTAAGTTCCATAAAAGTGTTGGGCATGATACTGAATAATACTAGGAGTTGAAGAATGAAATTAAAGATCTAATAAGACATATCTAAAGAAGCTTGTTAAAGATGACCATGCAACACAAACAGTTTGAGAGAGAGAGAGAGAGAGAGAGAGAGAGAGAGAGAGAGAGAGAGAGAACTAGTAAATGAGCTGACTACTAGGGTAATAGTAGTGATCTCAAGAGGATCAACCACCACCAGATGTAGCAACTTATTGAAAAGGGTATATATACAACAGCTACAACCAAGGTTCAAATTATTGGAAACGCCAAGTATATCAGAAAGGCAATTTTAAGAGATGTATCGAGATACGCCTTGGATATGCATGCGTATCGGAGAAAAACTAAGATACACATAGATACACTTGGAAACACTATAAATACTTTAATAAATCATAAAAATACATCAAAAACACTAAGTATAAGACCTCAATGAGGTGTATATATTTTAAATTAATATATTTTAATCGTTTGATAAAGAAATATATTATAGTTAATTATAATTTCATTAAAAATATTATGCTTAACTATAATTTATAAATTATAATTCTTAAGCCCAACTCTCCTATCCAACCATAAAACATGCATTGGCACAACTTCTATGTGAAAATATAATTTATAATTATTTATTATTTATTTCCAAAAATTATAAAAAATAAATAAACATTATATAATATATTCAAAAAATAGTTATTAAAGAAAAAATTGCAATTGCTTTGTGGATATGATAGATCATCTGTAGAATTATAATATATTAAATCACTGTGATCAAATGATAAAATATAATTAATTTTTAATTCTAAAAATATAAAATAAAAAAATAATTATTAAAGAAGAAATTTCAATTGGTTTGTGGATATGATAGATCATCCATAGAATTATAATATATTCAATTGTTGTGATCAAATGATAGATCATCTATAGAATTATTATTTATTTTTTAATTCTAAAAATATAAAAAATAAATAAGAAATTTCAATTGCTCTATGGATATGATAGATAAATCCATAGATCTAAAACATATTTAGTCTTTAGAGAAAAAAATTATATTTTCAAATTTTTTGTTAATTTATATTTTCCCTAAATATCTTCATGAAATTTCCATAAATCTATTGATAACACAAAAAAAAAAAATGTGATTTTGAATGTAAGAAATGTAGATCAACATAAATATAAACATTCAAGAAAAAATGAATCACAAGATATTATAAAAAATTGAAAAAAAATTATCTATTTTTATCATTTTTTTTTCAAATTTTAAAAAATTAAAAAAAAATTGACGATTCACACTTGTTTCTTGCAAACTTTTGCAAATCTAGCACTCTAGGAATGAAGTTTGGAGTTTTAGAGTCATTTGAGGGTGAAAGAAGGCTTATTTCGAGGAAAAGAAGTTTCTTTTTTTTTTTAAGTTTTTGGCCTATCTTTTTTGTCAATACACCCCCGATACGCCTTGATACGGGTCCATTATGCATGAAAAAAGATGAAACATCTGATTTCCATGCGCATTCTGTATCTGTTTTTTTAAGATACGATACAAGGCGTATCGTATTGAAATTTTAAACCTTGGTTACAACTGGTCCTCGACCGTAGAAGAAAGCTAAGCTTGATGAGGTCATTTCATCTTTTGATGATGATTTGAGGGACATTCGAACCTCACATGTTGATGCATTGGTAGGAAAGAGGAATTTTGATTGATAATGGTAGCTTGGCTGAGATCCTCTTTTATGAGTCTTTTTCATCAGATAAAGATCCCTCAAGACCTACTTACACATACAGATGTACCCTTGGTAAGATTCAATGGGGAAATTGTTCGACTTGAAAGAAAGATAAACCTACTAGTAATAGTAGGAGGCGCACCAAAGTTCTAACACTCTAGAGGAACGTCACACCACCTCCAGAATGTCTGATAGGGTACTTTGATGAACTGCTCTACTTCTTTCGGCTGAGCACTTGTGATTACATGGTGAAGCACATTGGCCTTGGAAGTGGGGGCAACTGATACACTCAAAGTCAATGACCAATTGAATCCAAACACGTGGCATCAACCTATATAAGCTTGAGACTTCAACTTGAGTGGCCCTCGCTCATCCTTGCTTGATCATCACCTTGCTCCCTTTTTTTGGAAGCTCGATGACCTCGACGTCTATAGGAGCACAGCCCAACCGAGAATGTGTCAAGCTAGGAGAGGATAGTGGTGGGAGCCATAGACCCACCTGGTGGCATGGTTGTCAACTAGTTGGGTCTGATCTGATGGACCCAATTATAATAAATAAATACATTTAATATATATTAGTTATTATATATATTATATGTATATTATATATACTTTATTTAATATTATATATATAACTCGGGCCAGGTCTGAATCGGTTTAGGACTGGGTAGAACTGGTTTCGAATCGATAGTAGTCAGGCCACTATATGAGACCCCAAACTGACTCGTCATTTCTAGTTTCTAAAATCAGAACCAGTCGAATCGGTTTGAATTCCCATAGGGCATGTTTGTTTGCTGAGAAAATTGGACTGAGAAATGTTGGGATGAGAAAAGGAAAATTTATTTTCTCAGTTAGTTTTAATGTGTTTGTTTGCTGAGAAAATTTTTCTCAACTAAAAAAATGCATGTAATTTACTTTTATGACAACTTGCACTCCCCAAATGTATGACACATATGATTGAATTTGCCATGTGGCATGATAGTGTTATTAAACTTGCTCATTCAAAAATTTTACTTGAAAAGAGTAAGAAATGCTTAATTATTTGGACCTGCTCATTCATCATATAATTTGTTCATAGGTCTATTCAATGTACTCATCCATAAAAAACCTGTGCATGCATTCATAAAATAGTCTACTATAAACTAAAATTGTTCTATTATTTGGACCTATTGGTACATCAAAGAAGTTGCATTCAATAACATATTTCATTCAAAAAGTCATACATACATCAATAAATCATTTGAATTTATCTTTAACCTGTAATTAGTTCATCAATGCCAATAGTTCAACCTATTCATTCCATGTAGTCATAATCATCCATATACCAATAAATCCATTTGTGGTAAAATATAACCATTCATTCCACCTAATACAAGTAGGAGGGCCATTAGGAGTTTGCAATGGTCTTTTACTACCAAAAGCTTGTTTCTCCTCCTTGGGTACCTTTTCAATCTTAAGAGGCTCGGCATCACCATGTTTTTCAACTTTGACAGTTTCCAACCTCGAAATTTTCTCAACCTTTACATTTTCAACCCTTGAAACCTTCTCGACCCGTACAGAGTCTGGTGCCTTTTGCACCTTCTCAACCTTGACGGTCTCTGCCTTTGCAACATCAGGCTTCATAGAATCTTTGTTATCTGAGCATCCATTTTTCTTGTTTTTAGTTGTTTCCTCAATAACTACTCTTTTCCATATCTCAATCAAATCAGATGCCATAGCCTGGATCTTCTGTCTAGGATGTTTTGTGAGTAGGCGAACACGTTTTCCAACCTGAAAGTTAGATATCATATGTAAGTTAAATAGGGATCAGGGAAAAAAACATAGAAACAAAAAGCTTTTCTTTAATTTAATTATGCACTTTATATAGCTCAGGAGTTTCCAACGCCATAAAATTTTAGCCAGTTTATGATTAGCTACTAAAATATCACCATATACAGCACAATATCAAAGAATGAGTTTATAATCTGACATGAAGGCAGCAATTCCAACTTTCGGCATCAATTCATTCACCCCAACAGTTGATTGATAAGGCCACAACAAAAAAAGAAATAGCCTTTTTTTGGTAAACAAGGATTATTAAATAAAGCTTGTATATTACACAAGGATAGCTTGTTCTTCCCTGCAAACAAGCCAACTCAACTTCAATAGTATAGCCTTACCAAATTTTAGATAGATCACTACTAAAGACTCGTTTATCAATCCAATTGTCAACAGAATTAGCTCTTCACACTAGTGTCCTACAACCATTAAATTGTTGACAAAAATTTGCCATCCTGAACAAGGAGTTCAACATTCCAGGTAGGTTAGACATTTGTTTACAAACATCCAATAAAGCTACTTCAGTCACTTTACAAAATTAGTTTGCAAATCGCCACCATTGCTTCTATCTGCAAACCCTCGCTCGCTAGGAAATAACCACTTTATCCTAATGAGTTTTACTTTTTTTTATTCTTCATTTTCAACCTAGTGTTCATTTAGCAGTTAGCATTTTCAACCTAGTGTTCATTATAATGGATAGATAAGAAGAAACATTGAAGGGGAGAAAAAACTATATAAATGAGAAATTTTACTTTAGCAAGTAATTAGCAAAGTTGTTTTAACCGAATGTGCGGATATAGCAGATAATAATCCTTCAAAAAGGGAAAAGAGACTTCTCTGCAGATAATCACATGTATTGTCTTCCATATTTCTCTCTATAAAGGCCAGACCATCTCATGTAGTTCTTCCACTTAAGCCAAATGTTTCGAGCGAAAGATATCCCTCAAGGAAAAAACATAGAAAAGGTTTTTCGTTTTTCCTTTCTTTACACACACACAAACCAAAAAAAAAAAAACTGCAACACAATGCGTTGCAGAGAAAGTATAAAGCAATAATAAGAGGAAAAAAATAAACAAAAAGGGAATAAATTTCAACTCTAAAATCCGAATCGAATCCCTCGAACGAATCTGATACCTTAAAACATTATGCAAACCCGATAAAAAACGCATACCTGAGTATCGATAAAAAACGCATACCTCGAACGAATCCCTCTCTGCTGCAGCAGCGTCCGTAGCCTTCTTCGCGGCTTTGAACAACTCAAGAAGTTCCCCGCCATGTATATATGGAAACCAGACTGGAAAACCTATTAAAATTCCAAACAGAATCAATCGAATACGAAAACAAAAGGGGATAGATCAAATCAAACAAGCAGTGATAGAAACGAACAGAACAGAAACTCTAGAAATCACAAGATCTAGGGCATCTTTCTTAACAATGAGAGAGAGAGAGTAAGAATTGAGACCAATACGATTTATAAAGCACGAGAACGAAACCTTGATCTCTCCCCTTCGACCTTCCGCTATCGCTGAGAAGAGTCGGTGCCTTCGACTTCTTGCTCTCTCACAAACTCGAGATATTTTCTCACACGACCCCCGCTCACTTAATTTTGGGATCCCGCGTCGTCTTGTTTTTCATTTCAAAATACTATTTACTTATAAACAAACACAAGAAAAAAAGAATCATTGAAGAATATTCCCTTTTCTCAACAATCAAATGGACCCTTAGGCCCGAACCTAACGTTAGACATGTCAAAACGTCAACAGATATCCTAAAATCCTAGCCATGTGTCACAATCCCATATGTCCCGATTCATTTATCACATTCACTATAGTTAGACACCTCGGACGGCTCGGACTCGGACGGTTAGAGTTTCCTCCTCCATTTTGATTTTAGTAATTTGATTGTCGGAGTGACGCCTCTAACATTAGCTTTTTAGAAACATCGTTTTCGTCTGACGTGGACAGCTGATGACTCCGTCGTCTTCGTTGATGCCTTTGAGACGTCATCAATTGTCACCGATGATCTTAAACCTGAGGTGTCAAGCCAATGTGTTTGATGAAATGCTCTCTGACCGAGATGTTCCAAATTTTCAATCAATGACAGTGGGTAAATGAATGGAATTCGAAGGTGATTTTCATCACTGTACCACACATCAGTCAATTATCGAGAGAAATGGTTTACCGATACATAGAATGCCAAATCTAATGTTTTATGCATAAATAGGATCCCGACTTTCAAGATATACTCGATTTTTTAATAATCAATTAAACCAAACAATGAAATACATGAGCATTTGTTGAAACACTAGATGAAGAATCGTATTCAGGAGTGGGTCCCGATTAACAAGGGAATGGATCGTTGCAAGTCTGTGTCTGCTGTTCTTATCCGAATTAGGATTCCGGGATTTTCGTCGTAATTAACACGGAAAATGACATCACGGTCGCGTCTTCGATGCTCGGAAAGAAGCCGGTTCCTCTGATCCTACGAAACCGCTCATTAATTATCTCTGCAAGCATTGTGTAATGCTTTTGGTCTCTTTGTTATACTTCCCGTCAAGACTCTAGGGGTAGAGGGAAAGGGAGAAGCCATGGCCGACAATCAGAAAGCAGAGCTGTTCGAACTCGACAATGGGACAATGCGAGTGAAGATCAGTAACTATGGTGCCACTATCACTTCCATGGTCGTCCCTGATAAGCAAGGTACTTCCTTTTTGATCTGCTTCTGATTTTCTACTATCCCCCTATTCGAATTGAAATTAGGACTGTTTTGATGTTTGTTTTTTTTTTTTTTTTTTCGGTTTCAAGGAAATCTTGCCGACGTTGTTCTCGGATTCGACTCTCTCGAACCATACCTTGTGAGTTCTGTATGCCCTTTCATAAAAGAACACTTTTTTCTTTGATCTTTAGTTCTTTGATGAAGAAATTGACCATGGATCTTTTAGTTCCAATATGATTTATTTGTTTTAAGCAAAAAAAAAAAAAGGAACCCATTTCGTAATTTGCTTGAATTTTGGATGTTAAACTATGACAAACCTAGGTGATCTTCTTTCTCGGTGGGTTTTGGAACGATTTTCTCATGATTGGTGTGTATCTATGTTTGTTCAGAAAGGTGCTGCCCCTTATTTTGGCTGCATTGTTGGTCGGGTGGCAAACAGAATCAAGGATGGGAAGTTTACCCTCAATGGAGTGGAGTACTCTTTGCTTATTAACAAGCCTCCAAACAGTCTCCACGGTACTGAATTTTGAGAAACTTTGGAGATCTTTTTATGTTCAAGTTTATGTCTGTCTAATGGCATGCAAATGGGCAGTGGAAGATTAAGAACTAAATGCTTGTAATTAGGGAGATATGTTTATCTGGTCCTTTGGTGCTTGGTTGCATTTATGGATAATTCACTTGATCACTGAATTCTACATTGCATCTGCTTATGCAAAAAATCACTATAGTATGTTGAATCTAAAAGATAGAGATGGGCAATTTATATAATCCACACTCCACACATGTTTGTTGAACATGCATGCATGTAGGAATCTTCTTTATTATACATCCTTTTGGTTATTAATACAATTTGCTTTGTTTATTCTTTGATATGAAACTTGATAAACTTCATTTATGGAAAATGAAGCTACATAGAAGAACATGGTTTGCATGGAAAAGAGGGAGTGTTCTCTAGAGAAAGGGATAAAACCAATTACCTTTTTCTGTGTAATGTTTTCTTCTAGTCATGGAAACAATTGAATTTGACAGGAAAGTTCTTGTATCATCGATTAAAGTTCATGAATTTTCTTTTAGTTGTCTGGTTGACACACCAGGGACAGGAAAAAATGTTCAAGAGATCTTCCATGAAAGGCACAAGGTTGGAATTGCTGTTGAGGCAGGATATTTAGTTGTCTTCGTCTGGAAAAGAAAGACCTGCTAATTCTGCATTTATATGATCTGCATTTAGTTTTTGATTGGAATTCATATGTTTTTTTTCCTTGAAGAAGTATAAGCAATTTTGTCATTTAGAAACTACTATGATCATCTACGAAAGTTCTGTTATGTTCTATTGGTTCTCTTTTACCCAAGATAAAGGTTTCCCTTTTCTTATTGAACTAGTGTTTATGTACTGTTGATCTTCATAAACAAATTTGTCAGAGTTGATGAGTTTTGTTGCTACCTACGTTTTCTGATTCCTATTTCCCTTCTTTCCAGGCGGCCACAAGGGTTTTGCTAAAGTAGTGTGGGAGGTTGTTGAACATAAAGATGGTGAACACCCATCAATTACCTTCAAATATAATAGTCCTGATGGGGAAGAAGGTAAGCTTCTTGGGATTCTTGTTTTTATGATGTTCTGATTCATGTGCTGATTCTTTGGTTGTTTGCTAAACTAGGCTACCCAGGAGATGTTACTGTAACTGCAATCTACACGCTTACTTCAAGCACAACAATGAGGCTTGATATGGAAGCCTTGGTTGAAAACAAACCCACTCCCATTAGCTTGGCTCAACACACCTACTGGAATTTATCAGGGCACAGCTCTGGGAATGTACTTGAGCATTTGGTTCAGATATGGGCATCTCACATTACCCCAGTTGATGAGAATACCATCCCAACTGGTGAAATAATGCCAGTTAAAGGAACTCCATTTGACTTCACAACAGAGAAGAAGATCGGTGCCTCAATCCACGAGGTTCCTGGCTTGGGATATGACCACAATTATGTGCTTGACTGTGGGGAAGAGAAATTAGGCTTGAGACATGCTGCTAAAGTCAAGGATCCCTCTAGCTCAAGGGTCTTGAATCTATGGAGCAATGCACCAGGCATGCAATTTTACACTGCAAACTATGTGAATGGGATTGTTGGTAAGGGCGGAGCTATTTATGGAAAGCATTCAGCGCTTTGTTTGGAGACACAAGGATTCCCAAATGCCATTAACCAACCAAACTTCCCATCTGTTGTTGTTCAACCAGGTGACAAGTATAAGCACACTATGTTGTTTGAGTTCTCAGTGGAGTAAAATAGGGATTTTGCAGAAGGGTAAATAGATGAGAAAGGACTGTTTTTAACTGAATGTGAGATATGACCTCAAGTAATAATATATATTAGTGGAATAAATTGACATAAACTTAAAGCATGCACTATCATCCATTTTGTTTGGTAAAAAAAATATGGTGTTCTTTTCCTGCAATAAGTGAATTCAGAAGACGACTTGAGATTCATGTCCACCCCTTGACAAAGGTTTCAAAGTCTGTTCATTGTTTTGACTTTTGATTCATCCAATTGAATACTCAACAGGGAAGTGATTTTTACTCGAATGTCAAACTATATTTTCTAGGCACTTGCTTTACAGTACTTCTGGCTATAAAGTATTTTGGACTTTGGACTTACCTGAATCTTTTGAATTTTAGCTCTATAAAAATGAATCTTTTGAAATTGGCTCTATAAAGTATAGGGCCTTGCTCTATAAATCAATCCCAGCTCAGGTATTCAGATTTTATTCAAGAAAGTAAAATGAAAAAAAAAATGTCGGTATTTTACCAAAAGAAATAAAAATAATGACTTGTAAATTACCATGTTGTGAAATTATAGTCAGAGTTTACAAATGATCCTTTTTTATCCATTTATATTGGGCCTGCTTGGGTTTAATTGGTGCCCATAACTTTGAAGAAAATGAACCAAAAGTACTTTTAGAGAGCTGTTAGTCGTTTACCAACATTTTGAAGTGGTTGTCCATCTACCTAAAATCAACTTAGAGTTGTCCAAACAAAAGAGTAGTTGTGCAATTCAGTGACAACAATTTCTTTGAATAATGGGTGGCCTGGAGACCACCTGGAATGAAATAATTTTAGTGCGGCTTATTTGCAGTTTTGAGCAATTCAGCATCTAAAATGAGCCATTTTCTTAAACAATGGAAAACCAAGGTCAAGGTGGCCTTCTAGAGAAAATATGTAAAGGGGTGGCTTTTTGCTCCAAGACTCTCAGACTCTGACTTGCAGTCTCAAGCTTTTCTGCCTGAGGTTTTAGCATTGCACCAACAATGGCCCTCACTATTTTGGCAATATTTAAACAGTAAAAGCAAATCAAAATTGGAAGGAAACAGGGAAACAGTAAACAATCACATTGACCTATTCCGCCTAAACGTGGCACCCAAACGCCTCATAAGGTTCTCAATGGCTTATACTAGGGTGCTCTCCATTACTCAGAACTTTTGACAGGAGATAACACAGTTAAAGTTTTAATATAGCAAATATAGGCATTCAGCACTCAGCAGTGGAAAACAATGAATTTAAATAAGGCTACAAAGGTTTCTGTTTGTTAAAATTTAAATCAGGTCCATTTGAGGGTGATATGAATTTGAACCATTTAAATTGGATCAAATATGGATCCAATCGATATGATAATATTTTGAATGTTGTCTGTACTAAAGAGTCTTGGATTCAAGTCTAAGAAGTTTATTTTCATTTCATTTTTTTTTCTAGAAAACTATTTTTAGTCCGTTTCATTAATAATAGATTATAATTTAATTTTTTAGCTCATTTATTGATGAAATTAATTATCCAAAATCTATCCAAATTCGACCCAAATCCATTCTATATCTGACGGATAAGGTCCATTTGAATTTGAGTAATAATTAATGAATAAATTTGGGTCTAGGTATATCTGATTCAATCCAATCCGTTTGAAGCCCCAAGTTTAAATTCATAATGCCATCATTCCCATGAACATCAATTATAAAGAACGCCAATAATAAAATGGAGTATGCCTAGATCCAAATTTGAATTGAATCTTATCCATTAGATTCATTACTCGGGTCAAATTTAGATATTGAATATCATTAATAAATTAAGCTAAAAATGATCAGAGAATATTATATATCATTAATAAAATTAACTAAAAATGACTTTGGTGTTGTACCTAAATATTATCACTTTGTAATGGATCAGAATGGGATTGATCTATAATCCATTCAATTATAAATTTGATTGAATTCAAATTTCGTTAATTGGGTTGAAATCAAATTTGGACAAAAAGACACCGTTTGCGGTCCTAACCCATCATCAACAAACACAAGGGCCTGAGCATATTTTGATCTCTCTAAGGCTCCCTCATGCCATACCTCTGCTACAAAGTGGTTGTGACAAAAATCATGGTTTAATGCCTTCCAAACTTTCCATTCAATAATTTAAACGCCCAGCCAACCCAACCATATCTACCAGCAGAATTAAAAACACTTAACATTGAAATGAATATTGTAGACCAACAACCAAAGTTCTTTCCAATGTCAGGTCAGCTGATAATCATGTCTAAACAATAATTTTTGAAGGGTATTTTATTAGTGATGATGAGTCATTTGGCCTCACTCCCACCAGGAAAAAAATCAATCTTTCCAGCATCCCAACAGAAGAAAAGGAAAGCAAAAAAGCCTTCAACATCAGAAGAAGTCAATGAAGCTCTGAGACTCTGACTTTTGTAATCTCATAACTACCTCTGTCAATTATAAATTATAAAGTTGATGTCCACATGCCATCCATCTTGCGCTTATAATCAAATTTATCTCTGCAACTGGACCCACTCTCACCACTCTGATTGCATAGTCTGCAACCTATTTTCAAACGCCAAGGACCCATTTCTTACATCCATTAGGGGGAAGAATAACTAGGTAACCACTTTATGTGCCCACACCTAACTGTAATTATTGTTGCTTAAAGCAAAATACATTTGAAGGAAACCCTTTTCTATTAGGTTTCTAGGCCGCCCATTTCATGAATATAGAAACCAAAAGAAGAAAGAAGAATATCAACTACTTCAAAACTAGTAGCAACAAACACTCACTTATGTAGATACAAAAGGATACATGTTTTGTACAGATACATCAGACTAGACCATCCAGTAGTCAAAACCCATATGATGAAATGATGCAAAGATGAGAAAGAGGAAAGGGTTGCTCTTCCTTGCCCATCCCCTAACAAATAAAAAAATTAAAGAAAAAAGACAAAAGAAAATGTGCTTGTCCTAACTGTCTATAAACTAATGCTGTCTACCTGGCATCAGAGTTTTTGTTGGATATCAATCAGCTTTTGGAGCCAGGATTTCTCACACTTACAATGACAGAGTGGCCTGACCTGACTAGCCTACACTCACACAGACACATGCTCACCCCCCTGCCTCCTCATCCTCCACCCTCCCCTGAAAAAGGTGGTGATGAGTACAGCCCACAAAAAGTTGGGCTTACTTGGACACTGAAAAGAAAAGAAAAAAAAAAGGCAGACTTCAATTTTAATAGTCTGCTGCTCATACAACATTATCATCAAACCATACAAGAACCCTCCCCTCTCCTTGAAGGGGGCTCCTGTTACTAGTCATAAAAGACGCAAAATTCATACAGCGTCTTGTCCCATATGATCACTGCAGACTGTGTGCTAGTAGTTCCTCTGAACTCTGAGAAAACAACCTGCATTCATCAAGAAGAAAAACAACTCAGTATGTATATTAGCAATATATTGATAAATACACATTCAAAGTAGATTGAGATATAAATAACAAATTCAAATGCCTATTGGGGTGCTTGAGTCTGCATTGTGTAGCATAACACAAGCATGATTACAACCATATTGTTGTCACGAAGAAAATGAATGTTATAGAAAAAGGAGATATGAATTTGATCTATATGGATTTATAAGAACTAGGTTAAAATAGAATTTATACATCAATATAGAAACAGTGGTATATTAAATGGAATAAAAAGGGTATTATGTTACCTATTGTCTTTTGCTCAATGGTTAAGCAGAAAGTCATGCAAGAACACCATCACCCATGTTTCTTACACGGAGCTCAACGGTCCTCAGATCGCGAAGGTGTTGTAGAATCTCCTGGAGAAGATCCATCCCCTTGTCTCCTTTCTTCAAGGAGCTGATACAATGCTTCAGAAACTCTCTATCTGCCTCAAGAGCCTGTAGCCTTTCATAGACATGGTCCACCTCCTCCTCAATAGCATGCTTCTTTTTCTCTAATGCAAGCTTGGAAGCTGATGATGAGTTTTGCAAGACAACCGAATCAGATCCTTCTTGTTCTTCATTCACTACTCCGTCTTCATCTTCCATGCCAATAGCATCAAAAAGAGGAAGGAGGTTCTTTGCCTTGCCACCAAGGTTTCTTCTCTCTTGGTAATATTTTGCGTCAAATCCCTCAGAGAAACCATTTGAAAATCCATTGAACTCTTCGCCATTCTCTTCTGCAAGATGTTCAAGGGGTTTTACATCTTCAAGGAGCTGCTCCTCATCATCTCCCAATGTGAAAAGCTTCTCTTCAAGTACCTTGAGCTGCTCTATAATTGAGATCCTCTCTTCCTCAAACTCAGCCAGTGATTCATCAAGAGTGCTCAAATGCTTGGCACATTCTAGCCCCTCAACCTCCAAATTTAGAACTGCATTAGTAGGAGTATAGATGCTGCTTTCCTGATGGCTATGGAAACTATCTTCGTCGACAATTTCATGGTGAAGATCAATAGACAGATCATCACTATCCTCAGCATTGCTGGAAGAAGCAGATGAAGCTCTGCTCCTCCCACTACTGTTCTTGCTTTGCCTCATCCTTCTCTTCTCTTTTGCTTCATACTCAAGGACCTTCTTGCGATAAACTTCCAACTCCTTTTCCAGATCTTGCTTTTCCTTTTCCCTCTTGACCATGAGTTCATTTAAAAGCTGCAAAGCCTCTTGGTCATACTCAGATTGTTCTTCCATCATTCTCTGGTACTGCAATGCTTCCATCTGCATTGCAGCCTTTTCTTCCTGAAGCCTGGTTATCATAGCCATTGTCTGATTAGCAGCTATTGCAGAAGCACTCCTCTCTTCTTCTAGTTCTGCATATAAAGCATTTAGAGCCTTGCGTTCTGCTTTAAGCACTGATTTCATGCGATCGACAGTCAGAACCCCCTCGCCAGCTTCGAAATCACTAATGACACTTCCATCCAAAGACTCCTCCGTCCCAGATTCTCTTTTCTCCAATAGTAGAAGCTTTTTATGTATCTGGTGAAGACCATCCACATAACTGGGTGTTTCAGGGGCTTTCTCTTCCTCCATTTCATTGAGCTCTGAAGATAAGGATAAATGATGATTTATCCCTTGTTCTGTCCTATCAGCGGATAAGGTTCTGCCTTCTATGGTTGCTTCCTCAGATTGCTTGGAATCTAATACACAAAGACTTGCATTACAAACTAAACTCCTGTGCAAGAAAAGTTTCAAAGCTTCAAGCATAAAGAACTGGGTTGCCGGAGGACAAGAACAGGATTCTGCATCTTACCTTTATCATTGGCTGCAATTTCAGAGGTTGTAGAGCTTTCAGTATTGTTACCATGAGGAAGTTCATGAGCTCGAGTCTGATTGTTGAATTCCTGATCGAACACCTCCATCCCTGTCAATATCTCTGAATTGTTCTCATCATCCAAAATTTTTAAACCAGCTTCTGTAGATGCTGCATACATCAATGGATTATAAAATTTCAAGATGCTTGAATTTGATATTTAAGCATGACCATAGAAAGAACAGATGATTAAACCACTAAAATTGTTGGTTGTTCTAAAACAATTAATTCTCCATACCTGGAAGATCGACTGATTCCTTAACTTCTATCACTTCAAAGCTATAAGCTTCATCGGACAGAGTCTGAGTTGCTTGAGTAATAGCAACCTCTTCACTTGCGTCACCACCCAAATCTCCATTGCATTCATCAGTGTATAAACTGGAAGAATTATCGTTCTCAGCCATTTCCATGGATTCAATCTCCAAAGAATTTGTCTTCTCCTCTCCTTCATCTGCCAAAAGCTCAACTGTTGCCTCCACTACAATGTCTTCCTCTGCTTCAGCCGATTCAAATTGTGTCTCAACAGGAATTTCTGAATCCAACACTCCTTCCTGATGAACATGCTTGTTCTGGTCTTCCTTTTTACAGCTGTTAAAGGTTTGGTTTTCAGCAGTTGCAGAACCAATCAATTCAACCGGGAGGAGGCAACGATCATTGACATCGTTGATACTCTCCAAACGCAGAGGGATGATTTCAAGAGATGCATCTTCTCTACGACAAACTTCAAAAACAATATCATCAGAGGATCGGAAAACAGCATTTGTACCTTCTGCAGAAATATTCGAATTCTCCTCCTCTGATAGCTCTTGCTCCGTTCCTTCAACGTCACCTACTTTATCATCTTCATCCGTCACCATTTCTTTGATTCGGATACTTGATGGAGACATCAAGCAGCCGACCTCTGCTTCCTCCTCTCTTGTTTCAACACCTTCCTCGACATCAGAAGGCACCCGATGTTCATCCTCCAATCCACCATCATCTTCTTCTCCTTCTCCCCTGTTTCTTTCCATCTCATGCTCATCGTCACAGCAGCGGTCAGTCTGGCTATCAGATTTACATGGATCCGAGTACTCACCTCCATCATGCTCCTCACCAGTGGCATCAGTAATCAAATTTCCTTTCTGGGCATAATCCAAAACACCCCATGAAGGCTGAAACAGCAAATAAGGAGAGTGAAATTTGCTGCTCAAGCTCGAATCACAGCACGAACACCGCAAAACCTTCTCACCATTCTCAACCTTCTTCTCACCATTCTCAATCTTTTTCTCACCATGGGTTGAGATCACATCAATATCCATATCTTTCACCCAAGAAAAGAAAGCAATCCTTCTGCTGATATCGATCGACTTTCCATGACAATTAGGCCGAGAGGACGAGCACTCCTCACACATATCCTGCGCTTCCACCAACTTCCGGTGATTGGAACAGTAACCCAATTTGGAAATCTCAGAGGCATGGTTTTCACAAACAAGATCTCTATAAGAAGCATGCTCTTTTCCTGGCTCGAAGACATGATCGATTCTGGAACACCACAGACAGGGTGTCTTGAGGCCAAAGTAGTTTGCAAACTTGACAATCAGATAGGAAAACAAGGAGTTGAGGAGAAGGAAGAATATCAGAAACCATTCAAGAACTACATAGACGAGAATTAAAGTGATCTTGTGTGTGTTCCTACTCAACATGGTCGCGAACTTGTTGGCAGCCATGGTTGCTCTATATCCTCTATTCCTAACTATTTACAGTCGAAAAAGAGAGAGATTGATAAAAGAAATGCAGGCTAGAGACTGGTTTTAATGGCCTGAACTCTGGAGAAGGTCGGTGTGAGTAAAGGATAGACAGCCAAAGAAGACTTCTTCTCAGAAATGAAAAGAAAATGAAGTCTGAAAGAAAGAACAGAGAGCTATGGAGAGAATGTTTTCGAAGCTTTTGACGAGCAGAGAAGCGGAATACCAGCTTGGAAGTTGGAATTTAGAAATGGACTTATTTTCAGAAGCAAAATGTTGGATACTCTCCTCATATTATACTTACATACTCCGTACAAATCTTGACCGTTCACGTACGTAGGGCCCATTTAATAGATTGTATCTTAGACCCAAAGCTATCATAGTATACTGTCCACGTTGGATGGTTTAGGGTATCTGGGTGATTATAGGTCAATTTTTTGGATCTACCCAGTGCACGAAATGATCGGTTTGAGGCCCACAGTCCATCAATTCCGTCTAAAAATTTTATTTCAGCCCCTGGGCTTAGTGGGCTACCACTGACGCGGACAAGTTGGGCCAAATGTGAGCGTCTTCACCAACTTTTTGAAGCTGAGCGTTTGGCTACAGTTGTAAGCTATTCCTCAATGATCTGGAGTAACCATAAACCCGAAACCAAAATTTTCTTTTCTGCTTTTTTTATTCCGATTGGCCGTCCAGAGAGGGATTTCAAACTTGAAGAAACTCAATTCTTTACACGTGGCAATCTGGGTAGGCGCCGTCCAGGAAAGTATACAACATCCAACTAGATCTGTTCAAACCAGAGCTCATCATGACAACCAAACGCGACCAGGAATCCTCATCTAGGTAAAATTTTTGGCAAACACCATCCTTAGGGTTTTGGTTGGGGCCCACCCATCAGCATAAATAAACGGGTGAGCCCCATGTAAAGAGAAATGCGGGGTCCACAGTGGATTCTACGCCTCCCAATTCCATCATATGTGTCTGTCTCCTCTATATTATAACGTTCAATTACGTGTAAAGAAAAAGATGATAACAGTGCAACTCTAGTATTCTTTTTTATTTGATGAGGCGGGTGGGTTCCCCTCCTAACAGCCGTAAGATAGGAACAATTCGTGGGACCAGCAGAGCACTTTGTATCTCACATGAGGCCAATTTAGAATCCAATCTCAATTAAGCAAACCGAATAATTAATCAACATGCTTGGTTTTCAAGTAAATTGAATTCTCCTTGAATAATCCCATTAGTTGCCTTCTAAATTATAACATACAAAATGCGGACTGGGTCCCACCCATTACTTGCCACGTGTATACATTTGGAATATCATGACCCACCAATTCACCAATAACCCGTTCCTACCAAGAGATCATTTACTCCACTAAGATGATATTGAAATATATGAGCTATGGCTGCAAATGGGTATAACCTAGAGCCAAATCCGAACTATTAATATTTGGATTTATTTTGAATCTTATCCATTTGGATTAGGATCGAATTCCGATATCGTATATACTCTATATAAGTTAAAAGTAGAAAATGATCAGAAGTTTATAATAAATGAACTAGAAATCACTTGTATATAAATTTGAATAGGGAAATTTATGATGCGGAAAATATATAATATGAAAAGAGTTTTGATCGATCAAAACCCATTTATGAATTCTGATAAATAACACCTGATTGGTTATCGCGTTATGATTCCAATTGAGTGGTTAAAAGTTTTTTAAATATCATATCTTTTTCATATCATAGTGGAACCTATTTGAATATTGAACTCGCCCTTCTCCATTCCATAATAATGCTCCTATATTCAATTAAGGCTATATATACAAATGTTTCAATAACGTAAGGATAAAGGGGTTGGATTTGATACGGATCTATCTCAACGCAAAACTCTATTTAAGAGTGATCTGAAGGTCGGGTCAATGCGGGCTTGCCACTTGACCCGACCCACTGGCATCCCTGAATAGGAGTAAAAGAGAAGTGGTTAACAAAAGTTACATGTAGGTTAAGGTTTTTGTCCAAACAGCTACTTAAGGCTTATTGGGAAGTGAGAAGATGAGGTTAGGGTTTTGTCCCAATTTCCCAACTGTATTTGTCTCTGGTGGTTGGGTGTGAGACTCTCTGGTTTATGCACCTGTCTCATCCCATGGCATCAAGCTTCTCTCTCTCTTTGCTAGAAAAGAGGGAAAAGCATGCATCAGAGACTAGACTGAACAAGGGTGAGAAGAATCCTAGAAATAAAAGCAAGTGAAAAAAATAATAATAAAGCAAATAATTAAATCCCATTTGGGTCCCCTTAAAAAGTACTGTGAAAAATGTATTTTCGTTTATTTCTTTTAATTTTTTGCTTTTTGACCAAAATAGTAATTCCGAATGACCATTTTGTAGAGCACTATTAATTAAAAATGGGCCCATTATATTTAGAGAGAGAGAGAGAGAATTGTATGAAAATATAGGGTTGCTTGGGCAATCCAACATCCATGTGAAGCATTTAATAAGGCGTGCAAGCTCTTGACTAGATTGCTTAATAATTCTATGTAGCCCAAGAATATCAAGTTGTCTTGATCAAAGAATTCAAAATTAGACGGCCAAAAAGGAAAAATTATGCACAGGGAGCCCCACCGACATCATTCTTCTGCTGTCACCCATTGGACTAAACAAAAAGGGATATGAGAGGCCCATGTAGGGCCCATTGAGGGATCCACATAACTACCATCATTTGAGCTGCTTGTGAAGACATCCAACAGAACTATAAGATTAAAAAAAATTATTATTTATATAATATTAGTTTTTTTTTTATTTTCTTAAACTCCAATTCCTTCAATTTATGAGAATTTTATAATAGATAATGGACCCATCTCCCACAGGCTCACAAGCACTTTTTCAGAAAAAAAATGGACTTGTCCAAGCTGGGGTGCAACTTGGCCTGGTTAAATTTTTAATAGACCCAAGCCCTGACCGAACCGATGTGGTTGTAGGCAACCCGATTTGCACCCTACCCTTAATCCAAGGAATGGCCAATGAGTTTTTTTTTCCCCCTACTTCGTGCTTCAAATCAAGCCATAATTACGTTTATTGAGGGAGACTGTTTGCTTATTCTGGTTTTTGTATACGACCCATTGTTAGTTAGAATTGGACCAGACCGGGATGGTCAGGCCCAAAATAAACAACCGGCAGCCACAACAGTTTTTGAGCTGCCCATAATTTTTAGAAATGATAATTGGGTCAAATCTGGTATATTTTGATATAAAATAGCTGAAAATATAATTATGAACAAGTGTCTTTATTTTTTTTTAATTAACTAAGTCTAACGGTCCAACCCATGACCCAGTGATCAAAATGATTTTGTGGTCAGTGGGAGTACAACCCAGATGGGAAGGAGCGTGAAGAAACGGTCAGGAGCTGGGCTTTGGAGCCCTAGTTGAAGCAGAGGTTGTAGTCCTTTTTCCACAGGTTTCTAGGGCTTGGTTGTCTTTATAGACCAGCCTTGTTGTTTGGACAAGGGTAGTAATTTCACACAGTTTTTGCCACGTTACAACTCAAAAAGTGGGCCCATGTGTCTCTCAAGAAACCATCCTTGTTTTATTTGAACAAAGAATTTGAACGCCTCTCTCTCTCTCCATCAAAGAAGATTTTGACATAGCTCAAAAACAAGCAAATTAAATAAATTAACAACACAAAACAACCAAATCCTTTTTGGGCAGCAATCCAGAGAAAAAGGTTTATATAATATAACTCTGCAGACTGCAGTCATCTCATTAAGTTAATTCCTTCTTGATCATGCAAAGAACACATTATTTCACAATTGTATGTCTCTATACAAAAAATTATATTATTATACTCCCACTTGCAAGTGAATGCAAAGAACTCAAAACTACACAGACGTGAAAGAAACAAAGAGAAAAAGCCTAGACGAATACGCTGGTTGAGGAAGGGTGAAGTTGTTACCATTTCAAATTCTGGTCTGGTGTCAGGGGTGCAACTCAGGGCCAAGTTGGCTAAGGTTGAGGTAATAGGGTGAAGTTCAAAATATCTGTGTATTGATGTGTATTGTATGATATATCTAAGGTTCTGTGCGCTTTTCCATAAGTTATTTATTTGGGTAAGTTTTTCATGAGAAATATTTAATAAGTGCATTTACCCATGTTTTCAGGTAAATAAGGTAATGATCATTTTTAGCTATAAAAATCTATTATTAAAAGGGGTATTTTTGTCCCATTCAAGTGTTAGCAACTTTCCTCTTAAGTGAGAGTTATTTAGATGGATAATATCCAAGAAAATAAACTTTCTTTGGTTCTCACATTAATCTGAAAAATGAAAATAGGATTCTTGGTTAATGAGAACCAAAATTCCATTGACCAACTTCCCCCTCTCAAAATCCAAAAAAAGAACGCCCACTCAATATAATAAGGTTTTTTTATGTTTAAACATGGAACCCCTCCTAACATGTCTATTGACAAAAAATAGAGTTTTGACCCTTTGAATCGTGTGATACACAACTTTTGCATATCGTGCATGCCAATATTATAAACCATGGGTAGGACTACACTTAGGTTGAATTGAATTCCAATAGGAGTATATTCACATTAGAAAATCATGATATCCCAATTCAATCCGAAAACCACCAATGAATACACATCCCCCATTCAAATTCAATCCGAAACCAATGAATACATAGCATCCTCCATTTGAATTCAATCCCATTATATAAATAAATTGGATTTGAATTTAAATCAGATTGATACCCAATCCATTTAAAACTCTAAATTAATGTCAACCTAATTCAAATTCAAATGTGCTAATCGGCTGATTGGTATGGTCTTTTGTTGGTTGTAGCAGAGACTTAAGATCGAATCCTGCCTTGACCTGAATGGAGAGACTTAAGGGCTTGGGAGATGGACTACCACCCATTGTGTAATCCCTTGGAACAAAACAAAGAATAAAGTGTTAAAACCTCACTTAGCCCAACCTGATATTCAACTCGACTCGAGGTTCCCTACCCAAACACAATTCACTCATGAAGTTAGCTTTGTCCACTTGGAACCCTACCCACCAATATACAAACACATAATAAGTTATACACTAGCATGTTCACATAACCAATTTCATACATGTAACATACATAATATAAAATACTATATAACAAATAAATAAATTGGTTTGGATCGGCTTCGGGTTGGTCCAACCCAAGTTGTACACCTACTTGAAGTTCATTCACCCAAAGAAGGCCTCATAACACACACAATCAT